CTTCTTTGCTAGATTATGATATGTGGTTTTGCTGCGTCGATTCTGTGGGCACATTATTAATACTAATGCTGGAGCTTTTCTAGAACCGCATTTGTCCTTGATGATGTGTGTTTTATGATTGAAAATTGGGGCTTCTTTTATTGAACTACAGGGAACAGCTTGATTTACTTACAAAGCTAAAATGGCCTGCTCTGGATTCTGAAAGTGTTCCATGGGCACTGCATACTCCTTTATGCAGTTTGTATGAATGGTCAGCCATAGGGCCCCTATGTAATCAGATTTCATCTCTGCCTGTCAATAGCATCGAACAGTCACAGGAACCTGTAGATGTTGGTATGGATGGAAGATCTGGTCCATCAAGGGAAGAGGCAGAAGGTGCAAGGGAAGACGGGGAGCTTCCCTCTTTGGTTTCATTTGCATCTTCTGCAAATGATATTAAACTCAATCCAAACAAAGGACCTAACCTGGAGCATTCCAGGCAATTGACTTTAATATCAAAGAGCACTATTTCTCCCCTGGGAAAATCACAGAGTTTCAAGAAATATGATGACTCAGATCTCATGCTGGATATTGATTGTGATCTAGATGAACCAGCACCAAGTGAGGTGGAGATAGAAAATGCAGGCTCTGGTGAATTTCATGAAAGAGCTGACAATTCATGGATGGACTATGGGGTCAGAGAATACTATCTTACTTTATCCAGGAAAATGGATGCAAAGGAGAAGGATGTGAAATTGAAAGCAAAGGTAGTATTAGTGCTGTCATTAACTTCATATTCTGATCACTCATTGACTACCTGGAATTTTGACATAGCATCTCTCTGGCAGATCAAGATCAGCAGGGAGTATCCCCTGAGGCCTCCTCTTTTGGCATTGAGTCTCCATGCTTGTTCTGAAGAAGATTATGATGACAGCAATAACTCTGGGGGATATAATGAACTCCGTTCAATGGAAGCAGAGGTAATTCACAGATAGAATATCATAGCTATATTATAACAACGTACATGATGAATTACTTTTCTCATCACATTTTCAAGCATTTTGCAAAAACTGAACGCTGGAAATGCTTCAATGCAATTGCTTATAATCTGATGTTTTGATATATGATTGCTCTTATCCCAACTGTCCTGTCATTTTCGGATTGCAAGAGGGATTGATCCCTTTGCTTTCTTTTTTTTGCTTTTTGACAGTTTCCTGCTAAAATTACTTTCCTTTGTCTGGTTGATTTGACCTTTTCTTTTTTTATTATTAAGCTCTTCAACATATATTAGTTATTCTGATTCTCCTTTGTGTCATGTAGGTCAATCTTCATATGTTAAAGATGGTATCTGTAGATCAAGAGAACTATATATTATCTCATCAACTGCGCTGTCTTGCAATGTTGTTTGACTATTACATGGATGACGGTTCCCCATCATCTGAAGTGAAAAAGAGTAGTTCAGTGATTGATGTTGGATTATGTAAGCCAGTTAGTGGTAAGCTTCTTGCTAGGTCATTTAGAGGAAGAGATCGAAGGAGAATGATATCATGGAAGGACACGGAATGTGCCTCAGGGTTTCCATGCTAGAATTAAACAATATTAATTCCCTGCACTTTAGAAGTTTATTAGGGATACACATAATCTCGAAACTGATTATATCCAGCTGTTTCTAGGTTCTGCAGTTGCTTGATATGCAGCTTGCATGATATGATCTTATATGTTTGACCTTAATTAGTGACCCGCATAGTTTCACTTTGTTTCTGTAATGGGAGGACTGGTCTGAAATTTTGACTCCCTGCAAATATGGATCTCAGAATTCATCGTGCCAGCTTGGAACCACTAGAGTAGTGCTTGTCAGATGGAATGGCTGAAGTGTCTCAAACTTGTTAGAGCTAAGAAATTTCCTTGTGTGCCCGTTGAACTCCCAGATTCAGATATTTGTTTGTCGTTTAAAACTGTGGTGCAGCCTATCTGGGCAATTCTTTTCCAATCCTTCTCAGGTTAACAGTAAGGCACTTCAATTACTTAAATATTTAAGTATCTTTTATTAAAGATTAAGTAATTATGTCTGTAATCAAAATTCTGCTTATTCAAAATATTTTTCGCTAAAAAAAGGTGAGGTAAATTTTGAAATATGGATTATGTTGTAATTTAATCTTACTTTTTATTTTTTGTTATAACGAACATATCTTTTTTTAAATAAAATTTTCTACAAAAAATAAAAAATAAAAACAAAATAGTTATTGTAGACTGTTATTCTTTAATGTTATTATCATTTTTTATTATTTAAATGAAAAAATAATTATTTTTATTAAGTTTGTTAACCTTGTTTTTAGGTATAACTTTGAACTTTCATTAAAGTTAAAATAAAAGTAAAAGTTTATTTTTCGTCAAAATTTTTGGAGTTGTATAAAAAGTCTTACGAAATAAAATAATTTTATAAATTTAATTGTGATTAAAAAAAAATTCATGAAATTCACTTTCTCAGAGTTGGGGAGATGCAATGTTAAGTGGGATAATAAGTTATGGGGGAGTACGTGAAAGATGGTAGTGGTGGGTTATAGTTGTTGACTTAATTGGGAGTAAATGAAATATAAGATACAGTACGGAATAAGGATGTAGGAGAGGATGAAGATGGGTTTGGCGTATGCTGGACAATCGTAATCATAATTCTTCAAAACGTTTATTACCAGTATACATCTCCAATAGACACAAACAACCATTGCACACCTGTCTCAACATTCATTTTTTCTCTCCTTCTGTTACATAATTAGATGATAAAGAATTTGTGATTCTGGCCTATGCCCATCAGCAGAGCAATGTAACATCCAGAATTGGATTCATGGATGTTCTCCTATTCATATATCACGTGAATCTAAAGCAAAACATATGTATGTAGCTTCCCTTCCCTATCTAATCCTTTCAATCATAGAACCGAGTAGATTCCAAAATATTAGAAAGCTTCTTCTACGCCACCTAAAACCTCTGCTTCTACATTGTTGCCGTAATATGTACAGCTACCTATCATACACAATCTCAATCTGAGGACCCTCTACCATGGACCAGTCTGTGTTCGTCTCAAGCACCGCAATTTAGATCCGCGCTGTCCGTTCAACATCTCTAACACCTACAGTATCAGCAGATGCAGGAAAATTAGACCGTCAGTGACAAGACTCAATTAATTTCTAGGCCTATTTGTGATGTATAGGCGATATGACATGAGTATTTGATTCTAAGCTGTTTATTGAAGGAGGAGAGCAAAGAATGAAAAAGGAGAACAAGACCATAAGAGGATCAAGTCTGGATTGCTTTCCTATTCCTTTGATTACATGTTCCATTAAATGATGTAATCTTTTGCCTAATTAAGGTCATCAACACCATTACCTCTTTTGGTCATGATATAGCCTTCCAAGTTTAATTTCTATTAAATAATCTGTTACCCAGTTCTGCTCCAAGATTGCACTCACTTCCACCTCATAGAAGTTACATGTTCACAAGCGGAAGACAAATGTATACATCATACGACATTATAGCTTCACAGAATGAAAAGAGGGAGACTAAGACCATAAGAGTTTGGCTCCAAAGCTATGTCTTTTTATCACCCTCTTTATACTTACAAGATTTAAGAGACCTAGTCAACATTTTGAGAGATTTCTAAAGCTGCAATTGCACTCTCTTGGTGTATATGTTAGTAAAAGTAACAGAAATATCTCCACTAATAACTCTCAGTTTCCTCTGCTTTTGAATCCAAAAAAATAAGAAGTTTCTCTCCATAGTTGGAAACAGATAAACATGAAAGTGTAGAACAATGTCTTGCTGATGAACATCGTCAACAAATGAACATAAAACAAATATTTATATATCATGAATAACCTGAAAAGTGATTGGAAAAAGAAAGGGACAAAACCTGATTCTTCTGCATTTCCATAATCTTTTCCTGCAAAACAGAAATGAGTACGTGAATTTATCAGAGATATATAATAGAGGCATGCTGCTTACAGTAGTTTCTTTACCACAAAAATTACCTGTTTCTTTTGCAATTCTTCGTTCTCCTCCTTTAACTTAGCAACTTCTGCTTCCAACTCCATGGTATAAGCCTGGAAGAGACCATCAGGGAAGAAGATGATAAAAGACCATCAATTGTGTATCCAAAGACTGACTCTGAAGAAACTATTTATTTTCTGAATAAAGTACAATAACTTCTATTTGTTAACCTTAATGCATTTTTCAGAATGCATTAAGAACTAGGTTATTGAGCTTAATAAGTCGTTGCCTTGGAAGCTGATACAACTTCCATGTGCTGGCATTTTCCTTGAGTCACTTTTATCATTATCTTGGGTGGATCTTATAACTTCGTATCATCTTGACCTCTCAGGATCTCTGTATTGCCATTCAGACTGCTATCCCATCCCCATTCTCGATATTTTTTCATTAAACTTCTAGGATGCATGTCTATGGACCCAAAAAACAGGTTAACTGCTGGAATTATTCATCAAACTACATCCAAGCTTCAACCTTCTTTAAGTGAGAACCAGCATAATGTCTCACAGACTAGTTCAGAGATAATTAAATACCATAGGATCTTTTGTTAGATAGTCAAATACCATAGGATTTTTTGTTCCTTTTGTTTGTTTTTTAATATATGAAACAAGTCCCTAGATCCAAGACAAGAGCTTATTAACTGCCTTCCAATTGAAGACACTGAAGAAAGATTTATTTCGTCAAGAATGAGTCTGAACAGTTCAACAGAATTCATATGCATAAAGCAAGATGGAAAATTACTGGTTGATTTGACGAATGCATTTCATTCCTATGTACTCTCCATGACTTCTTTTTCGTTTCTTGCTAAATATCTTCATTTTTAAGTTATTAAATTAGATCCACAATACAAGAGTTCATTACATGGATTGGTGCCCAGGTTCGGTTCAAAAATTTTATAATATGGAAAGTACTCCACCAGAACATTAATCAAAAGTAAAAGAAATAGGTATGGGCTAAACGAATACTAACCTGCTTACGTGCCCGAGACCTTGCTGCTGATTCTCTGTTCTTTATCATTCTCCTCTGTCTCCTCTCAACAACTTTCTCCACAGCCCCACTGCATTTCCTCCCTCTAAAACCTCCATTAAAGGCATAAGGGACAGGCGATACAGAAGATGTATCTCCATTATTCTTACCAATTCCATTTGATGACAGCTGGGTTTGCAGGAGACCCTGCAGCAGCAGCACCGGGAGAAACTCCTAAACCAACCACTCCCATGGCTCGACCCTGCAGTGTAACATTTTGAACCAAATTACTAGTCATTCCTTGATTTCCGATTCCCACTATTCCGCTCCTCATTCCAGGACTTGCAAATGAGGGCTACTTTGTAAGGCATCTGAGTTGCATAACCACTGGA